AAAAGAAAGAACAAGCTCTGACTTGTGGTATGTACTGATTTCCACAGTGTAAATGCCCCTATTATGGCCGATTTCAAGTTATTAACATGGTATCACTGAGCACAGCAGTGGGAAGAGATGCGCTCAATCAGCTCTCACCAGATGACACACCCCTGCAACATCCCAAAGTAAGGACCACAAGTCCCAGTGAAGATCTGTGTGACCTCAGGTGAGTGACTTAACTTCTCTGAACCTCAGGTTTCTCATTTGTAAAATGAGAAAAACAACTGCACCCACCTCAGGGCAACAATGTGAACACTAAGTGATATAATCTAGGTGATCAACAATGTACTAAACACCTGCTATGAGTAGGGTTCTGTACTGGGCACCAGGAGGGTGACTAGTGACAAGACAGACAAGGACCTCACTCCTTGCAGTAAAACCATGGCACAATAGCTAGAATACAGCACTTGATAACCATTAATGTTGCTCGTCTGTCCTTTCTCTGGGCTTCAGTTTCTTCATCTCTAGACTCAGAATGTGGGGTGCACAAAAGTGTTTATGATGCTACTTCACTTAAGCCTTAAAGTGGCACGGAAGTGGGCATTACCATTCCTATTTTACAGATGGGAAGACTGAAACACTCAGAACTGAAGCCAGGCTGAGGATTTGAACCAGGTTCTTCTAACACCCAGTCTCCAGATCTGTCCCACGTCCCAGGACTGAGGAAGCATAAAAAGGACCTGGAATTCAGCTGGTGATTCAGCTGGATGCTTTAAAAAAAATACTTCCTTCACCCCCCCCAAAGGATAAACCAAAATGTCCTTGGCATGTACCAGTTTCCAAAATACTCTCTCAGCGTGACAGCCTCACTGCCTGGGCCATTCACAGGCTCTCTGGAAACCTGAACCCTGGCGCCCCCGGCAGACTGTGCAGGCTGATGGGAGCTGATGAAACTTCTTCGCAAGAATCAGCCCAAATCACATGTTTCAAATGAAAACCGCTGGACGTTGAGAGGCAAAGGCCCCACATGGGCACCTTCTCCCTCCTGCAGAAGAACTGAGACGGTTCCGGGGAATAAGCCCCAAATAGTCCCCAAACACCATCAGGTCCATTTCCCTATTGGTAAGTAAGCCAGACTCAGGCCCCCTCAAACAGATGGGCAGAGCTTGTTTTCTTGACAAAACAAGACCAACAGCCAAAAATTAAAATCCACCAATTCTAAAGGAGGCGCCTGGAAAATTCTCTTGGGAAGTCCCTGTATGTATCTAACCTCAGTCCTTCATACTTCGGTTTCAGCCAGGAACAATGTCTCTTTTCACTGCAGCCTTGCTCAGCTTCTCTTGTCAGCTTCAAAATAGCCTCGGTTTGTTATCAGCAACTTTCCTTTCCAACTTTCTCACTCAGAAGCAGAAGCCTTTGAAACGTAGGCAATGACCCGCTCCAGTCCGTCATTCCTTTCTACAAAAGCCGGGCCAAGGAGTCTCATCCAGGTCGCACAAAAAACTGGCCCTGGCTCTGCGCGTGCCAGCCCCATCAGGCTGCGGAGAGGCCAGCTCTGCACCTGCCCTGCTGTGCCCCACTTCTGGGCCTCAGTCCCCCATCTGTGTACCAAGAGAGTGGCCTTTCTGTGGCCCCTCCCAGTCCCTACGGCTGTCGGAGCTGCCCATCCCCACGCCGGCCCTGGCTCTACCTCTCTCCCCCTGCCGAAAAGAGGAAAAGAAACTTGCGTTAAGGCGTCCGGGAGGGCGCGCGCTCCGAGTTGCGAGGCTGCGAGGCTGTTGCCGGGAGAGAGAACCTCACACAAACCCCAGGACAGAAAAGTCCCACCTCCCCGTCGCCACAGCTACCCGGCCACACCTCTAACCCAAACACGGCCCGCGGCCCCGCCAAGGACCACCTCCAGATTCCCTGGGGACCCCTCCCGTCCCAGCGATCGACCCCAGCGGGAGGCGGTGAGAAAGAGGCCAACGCCCCCATTGTGCGGAGGTGGAGACTGAGGCCGGAAGGGGGAGGCAGCCGGGTGAGGACTCGGATCCGACCGTCCGTCCAGGACTCCCTCCCATCCCCAGAGCGGCGGCCGGTCTCCTTCCCGTGCGCGTGTTGTTTCCACGTGGGAGCGACCGAGGGCGGCACCGTCCCTTCGGACTGGGGCCCGTCGGCGAGGTTCACCCTCCTTCCCCATTCCCCCGACCGAGAAACTGAGACCCAGCGAGGCGCCGGAACCCGACCCGGACCCACCGCGAGCCCCTCCCCGCCTCTCACCTGCCCGCCGCCGCCGCGCGGGGTGGTTTCCTGGAGTTGAGCGGCAAACAAAGGCCTCCAATCCGGGTGCGGGGCGGGGCGGATACTTTTTGCATAATCCCCGAGGCGGG